TCTTGGGTAGGAAGAACCAATATAGTGAAAATGGCCATACTCAAAATTGTTATACAAATTTAAAGCAATCCTGATCAAAATACCAAGAGCATATCTCACAGAATTAAAGAAAACTATTCTAAAATTCATTTGGAGTCAGAAGACACCTAGAATATCAACAGTAATTCTAAGTCACAAAGGCAAGGCAGGGGACATCACAATCCCTTACTTAAAATTATACGACAAAGCTACTGTGATGAAAACAGCATGGTAGTACTTGCAAAACAAACAAATCAAAATAAAACAAAACAAAACAAAAAACAGAACCGAGGATCAATGAAACTGATTAGAAGATGCAGAAGCAACTCCAAACACACTCAGCCATCTAATCTTTGACAAAGGAGCCAAATACCTGCACTGGAAGAAAGACAGCCTCTTTAATAAATGGTGTTGGAAAAACCGGCCTTCCACATGCCAAAGATTAAAACTAGACCCATATCTTTCACTATGCACTAAACTTACATCAATCAAAAATCTAAATATTAAAACAGAAACACTAAATCTGTTGGAAGATAGAATAGGTAGAATTCTTGAAGACACTGGTATAGGTAAAGACTTTATGAACAAAACCCTAATCGCACAGCATATATCACAAAGACTCAACAACTGATATCTCATCTTATTAAAAAGTTTTTGCATAGCAAAAGAAACTACCAACAACATGAAGAGACAACCCCACAGAGTGGGTAAAAAATTTTGCCAGCTGTTCCCCACACAAAGGACTAACATCTAGAATATATAAAGAATTCAAAAAAAATCAGACCCCTCAAATTTAAAGATCCAATTCAAAAATGGGCATCTGAAATGAACAGATACTTCTCAGATGAAGAAGTACGTATGGCAAATAAATGGGTAAAAAATGTTCAACATCACTGTCATTTGAGAGATGCAAATTAAAATAATGCTGAAATTCCATCTCACTCCAGAAAGAAGGCTATTATCAAAAAATCAACCAGCTGGGCATGGTGGCACACACCTATAATCCCAGCACTCGGGAGACTGAGGCAGGAGCATCGCTGTGAGTTAGAGACCAGCCTGGCCTACATAGTGAGTTCCAAGTCAGTCTCAACTATATTGTGAGACCCTATCTCAAAAAGCTAAAAAAAAAAAAGAAATCAACCCATAACAAATGCTGGCAGGGATATGGGGAAAAAGGAACTCTTCTCCACTTTTGGTCAGAGTGTAGACTGGTATAACCTCTGGGGAAATTCATGCGAAGATTCCTAAAAAATTACAACTAGAGCTTCCATTCGGTCTAGCTAATCCCATTCATGGTATCTTCTCAGAAGAGTTAAAAGCATCACACTGCAGCAATATATGCACACCCATGTTTATAGCAGTACAGTTTGTAATACCTAAATCATGGAAACAGATCAAAAGCCCGTCAACCAATGAATGGATAAAGACATTTTTTAAAATACAATGGAGTACTACTCTGACATAAAGGATAAGCTTGAGCCATTTCTAGCTAAATGGATGCATCTTGAAACCATACTCTTAATTGGAAATATATCAAAATCACATATTTAAATACTGCATTGTTTCTCTAGTTTAGGAATAGTATATAAATAAGGACCAAAATATACAAAAGATATTGGGTAACGGGAATAAAACATTCAACTGAGAAGGGGAACGGAGGGGGAAGGAGAAAGGAAAGAAGGGACAAGGAAAAAAATGGAATTAAAGCCTTTGTAAACAAGGAGGGGAAGAAGGGTTGAAGGAAGGTAGGAAAGGGGAATGAGAAAAAAAAGAACGAACAAGATGTATCACGTACAGGTACAAATTCCCTATATCAAATGTTATCATAATGTATATCTAAAATGTATCAATTTAAAAAGAACAATTTTCCTTACAAGCTGATATGTAGCCATTAAGTAATATCTTTTCTAAACAATTCTTCAATAAAATTATCTTCAACTCAAATAAAAGAATATCAAAATAGCTGTCAAAGGCCTTATTCACATTAAGATGAGGTACATTCTGCCGCCTTCTCTAAATGTAGCTTTATTCTAAAAATAAATGAATTTTATTTAGAACGCTAAATCTAATAATTCACTAAGTGAATCATATAAATGTAAAAATTATGACATTTTTATTCAATTTCGTTTTAAAAATAAAAAGTAATTGCAATATAAAAATGTCTAAGGAATGCAACAAAAACCTGTTTTTATTGTTTTTTTGGATGAGAATTTTTAGAAAATAGGGACACAACCTAAATATAACACTTTAGATAAAATATGTATACTTCAAAAGGAATAACGTAATGATTCAAAGAACAAATGCTTATAGTTTTATTATTACCACAGCAATCTTAATTGTATAAGTCATGAAAAAGACTCCCTATGCTAACATTTTTTGTATTATATTAATGTTTGGTTCACTCAGCTCTTTTTTGGAGAATATGGAAGGTATCCTGAATTAAGATTTAGGTTTTTAAATGCTATGTTAGGTAAAACATTTTCATTAGAAATCTAACACATAATACATTTTATAACCACGGGAAACTATGTGTGGTCAATACAATTTACTTTTGTTTTGTTTTACTTTTTCCTAATGGACAACTGTGGAGTCCCCAATATTGGTTCACACATACCTCTCTCCACGTCCCCTTGCACTCTCCTAGACTTTTTAGAGGCTTTCTACTCCCGAGATACTCTTTTCACTTTAATTACAGGTTTGTAAGAGCAATATTGGAACTTTTTTTATGAGACAGGGTCTCGCTGTGTACTTTTAAACTGGCCTCAAACTCACAGCAATCTTCCTGCCTCAGCCTCCTGCATGTTAGGATTACAGGAGTGGGTCACCATTTCCAGCAGAAGGTAACTTCAAAGAGAGCAGACAGTAATCTTTTCCAAGGAAATTAAATAAGCATTAGATTAAAACTTTAAATCAGTGGTTTTTTATCTGTTTCCAGGCATATCTGATCTCTTAAGATCTGATGATTAGATGAAAACTATAGGCATACATTCCTCTAGAGATGAAAAATGAAACATCAATTTTGCATACAACATTGCTGTGTTATTAAGCTCTCCTCCAAAGTCTACAAATCTGAGAATACAGGGTAGGAATTTCTGTCTATTTTGCTCATCGTTATACCCAAAAACAGTGACTAGCACATTAAAAGTACTCAGTTTGTTGCCTGAATAAATAAATGACATGGAATAGAAGTATACTGGCAAACCACTGAAACAAATGTAAATATTGTTTAGAGGGAAACAGTTAAAAAAAAAATGGTATGTCTATCTTCATGGTAATTTTGACTTTGGGGAAGAACCAGAAATTGCTAGGTGCCAGGTCCAGGGAATAAGGTGGACGAGGCCACATCATGTTTCTACAAGCCTGCCTTTCTGTTGCATGGCACACAACAGCATTCACTGTAGTTTTCGTTACACTTCATAAAGACACTCATGAAAAAGGACTTCTAGAACTGCTTCAGAAAGTGGTAAGAACTACAGAATAAGTGTATTCAAAGTAAGGGGGAGGATTTTGAGGAGAATTAGTGACACTGTATCTTCCACTGTAAAAAAATTTTTATTTAAAGCATACCATTTGTTATAGTACAGTAAAGTAGTTATTGGTTCAAAAGTCTAGAATAGTATATACCAAATCAGTGAACAGTAGCTTCTAGGACAGCAGTTCTTGAAGTGTAGTTGTTAAAAGTCTTGGAATCCCCAGGACTCTTTTAGGGTTCCATGAAATCAAAATTATTTCCATAACAATCAATACTAACATATTATCTCCCCTTTTTAGCTTTTATTCTACAGGGAATAGATTTTCAGCAGCTACATGACATGTGGTGTACAACAGATCTGAATGCAGAAGCAGATACAAGAATCTAGCCCTCTTTCATTAAGGCATACATTGAAGAATTTGTAAAAATGTGAAACAATGATGTTCTCTCAATTTTCCTTTTGGACAATATAGTTCCTTTTCTTAAAAAATAGATTATCTTAACACATAAAGGGTAAATACTGTTAGCTTTAAATGAATTAATGAATACCGAAACAAACTGAGTTAAATTTCTACTATGTAAGTCCAATAATAAGCAAAAGTCCTTTAAGGTCCTCAATAGTTTTTAAGTAACTAGTAAATTTTGAGAAATGTTTCCAGTAGAGAGATAAGATTTTAGTGATTAAGGAGGAACAATAGGCCTTACTCTATCTGTATAGTTCAACATTTACAACCAAAATATATGTGTGCATTACTCACATAATTAAAAACATACTAAAAAATAAAATAAACCTTCAATTTATAATTGCCTATATAAAAAATGTTAGTTTTCTTTACAAAACAGAATACTCATATAGTTTTCTGACTTCCAGCCATTCAATATCTCAGAAAAAGTGTTTTGCCTGTCTCATGCCATTTAAAAGTTTATAAAAGGTCAACCCTAGACAAAGGTTAGAAATCTCAAAGGCTATCCTCAATTTCTAGCCTAGTCTTCCAGTCAGTTGTTTCTTTCCTTTCCTTGTTTCTTTTAATATTAGGGATTGTGCTGATTTACATTCTTTGCTATTTCTCAAGACAGGAAAGGATACAACAATCTATTTTTCAGGTGATTAATTTTATGAAATATACACTAAATTATCTGAAGTAGCTATTTTAATTTTAAGCCTAGTATCTCTAATTATACAGCAAGACACTTTCTTTATCAAGAAACTCCAACTTCTTTTAATTAGGTTTAGAGATGTTTCTTGGCCTAAGGGTTTTGGAAAATCATAGTAAAGTATACTCAGTCACCTGTGAAGAGACTAACAAGCCCTTTAGAATGACTCTGCTATTACAAGGAGGCAGAGGGGCAATTATTCTCTCTCTAGTTAACTTCCTCCGGGAAGCCTACTCCTGGAAGGCGTTAGGAGAAGGTTAGGGAAAGAAAGACCGGGACCATGCACTTTCTTTAAAATGAAAAGATGTTTCTGAACTGTGCAATTAGTGGGTTTCTGGATTGTCTTGATAGTTACCACAGTCAGCGTATTAAAGCCAGCTCTCCCAAGCAGATGTCCTAGGTCACTGACAGCAGTAAAAGGAGAAATGTGTGGAGAAAATCCTCCTTCTCTTTCCGTTTCTGCTAATTGTAACGAACACCGAAGTTCATACAGGGTGTCACCTCCAAACATTGCACCAACAAACACTCCATCTGGTTTTAAAACATAATGAATCTGTAATAAATACAACAAAACTATTCAAAATTTTATATATAAAAATGTGAAAATAGTGTCTAAATCAGTATTTTATGACTAATCTGATTTTACCAAATTAATGAGATAACCTAGTAAATAAGTCATATCTAACATAACCAGAAATCTAAGTCACTGCTGTATGATAGTTAAATATATATTTTGTAATAATATTAACATCTATAGAATATGTTCCATGTATTCACATTTTATAATAGGTACAACTTTTATATTCAGAAAAATGCTGAAAGAAAAATTTTAAGTAGGATAAACTGCAGAAATCACCATCATCCCTGTGTTTGCATCTACTAAAATGCCAGTATGTTAACAACTCCCATCAAGAAATGGAGTCTATGTCCCCTCTCTTTGAATTTGGCCAAAAGAATACAGTAGAACTGATACCATGCCAGCTTTAAGTCTAGTTCTCAAGTGGCCTTGGATGTTTCCACCTGTTCTCCTGGAGCACAGCCCAGCTACCAGGTTGATGAACAGGCCTCAGCTCACCAAGCAGAGGATGAGAGATGTGTGAAGCAAAGATCAAACAGCTGTCCCAAGTGAGGTCAATCTAAACAACCAGCTCTCTAGCTGGCAGCTGATTATAGGCACTTGAGTAAGCCAGGCCAAATTGAGGAGAATTTCCTAAATAGAGCCTAAATTGCTAGCCTACAAGATAGCGAGCCAAATAAACAGTGTGTCAAGCTACTAAACTGGGTTAGCCTATTATGCAGAAAAAACGAATCTATAGAAAAATTATGACTCACAACATTAACCCATTAACACCTAACAGATTAGTTTTTTTAAAGAGAAGTTTTTCAGCTAAAAACAAACAATTTCAATTGATAAAAAGCATATTACTGGCCAGACTGAATTACACAATCAAAAATGTTTGCTCAGTGATTCTCTTCCAGCCATGTCCACCTTTTTGACTTGCTTCAGGAACATGAATGAAGAGGAACTGTCTTGGGCCACATACGAAATACACAGTTAATGTATGTAAGTAATAAAACTTCCTTTTTAAAATATTTGTTATTATAACATTAAAATTTTTTTTAAAAGAATAGTGGCCTGCAGGCCAAAGGTTAGTGCTAAGATCTGTAATTAGTTTAGACTATTTTCAACAATGAGGACAAGAGTAGAATTCTGAAATTAAGCAGAACTCAAATAACAGTAAGCTCTTCTAATCAAAGCACTATCTTCCAATTATATTTAATACTTCAAGAAGCAGATGTATAACTGATGTGAAATAGGAAGAAAAGGGCTAAAGGTGCAGGGGAAGGGGGAAGGAAAGGGGAAAGGTAATATGGGAAAGAAAAAATTTGAGAAAAGGAAAAAATGGAAACAAAGACTCTGTCAATAGGGGAAAAAGAGGGCAGGGGTATTGGGAAAAAAAGAACCAAGATCTCTCATGTAAAGGTACAAGATCCCAATAATGAATTGAGAGAAGTTTTTCAGCTTTAAAACTTAAACAATTTTAATTAGTAACTTAAAACTGTACTGTATACTTAAAAAATACCAATAAACTCAGTAAGATTTAAACAAAAAGCAATTAGAAAGCACTACATAAGCAAATCAAATTAAATAAAATCTTTGGTTTCTTGCATTATGCTTCTTTACTGTTATTTCCTGTCAACAAACTCTACTATACCATCTATCTAAGATTTAATCCTCAGGTTTCTTCAGTCTCTCTCCACCTCACAGGGCTTACAAACTACAATTTCACAAGGATAACTTTACACTCTCTATCTTCAGCCTGGACATCTCCATAGAACACTACACTCACTTTCAACTGCTGTCTTCATGGACATTTGTGTCTTCATGGACATTTTTTTCTTCATGGGCATTTCATTGTCCCAAATCCACACAAACAAAACATTTATTATCAAACCAACTTCTCTTTGCAATTGCTCTATTTTGGTCAATTCTTATTTTCTGTTATCGATCTATTTTCCCCCTACTTTTAATGATCGTTCCCTCAGGTGTCCTGATTTAAAACATTACTGTGAGTTTTGATTCTCCCTTTGACCTTTAGACCTAAGAAACCACCAAATATTGATTAATCCTTTGTAGAATCCTAGAAACCTCTCCATTCCTTTTAACTCCTACCACTACCACCTAAATTGAGTTTTCTTAAACCTGGACCACAAAAATAATACACCTTAAACTTAACCAACTTCTCCACCATCAGTTTTCTGAGAAACAAAAAGATTATCTTGCAAGATTATTTAATTCGTACATAAAATAGAACACAGTAACAAGGAAATAGTATGTGCCTAGCTATTCTGCCACCAAGCCTTTTAATCACATCTTTCTTCTTCAAAGTTCTCCAGCTGCTTTCCATTGCATAATGAATAAACTCCAAAGACCCTAACCTGGCACCAAAGTCCTCCTATATCTGACCTTAATATACCTTATCTTCCAGTGTGCTAGTAACTCCCCTAACAGGTTTCCTCTTGATCTCACCTTTGGCTGAGACTCTTATACCTCCCCAGCCACGCTGTGATGGGGCCTTCCTGGAATGCTCCTCCATTCAAATCTCACCTACCCTCTAAACTTTGCTCAAGTACTGTAAATCCTATCTCTGAAAGCTTTCCTAAGCAACTCCGTGTCACAGTGATTGCTTTCCTTCCTTTGAACACATGCTGTTTACTTACACCCTTTCTGATTCATTGATGGTATCAATGAACAAGTAAATGATACCCTCTAGGTACAAGGCATAGGGAGGATACAAATATAGATTCTTATCCATAAAGAGTTTACAGGCAATTAATTGAAAGAAGGAATTCCACACAGAAAATGTCTTTATAACACCCATATTATTTTGAGTATTAAGCTTTTCATAAATATTCAAAACTTATCTCAACAGATGTTAAAATTCTGAGAGTCACCTAATGACATATGCCAAAGGCACCAAATATACCCAGCCCACAAAAAATAGGTACTTGGTTTGATTCCATTCTCCAAATATCAGACCTATAAGTAAAGTCTGTGAAAACAGAAACATCTGTACATTGCTATTAATGAATAAAAATAGAATAGAAACAATGTAAGTTTTCTCACCTGTTCAAGTGCTCTAGGAAGGTCATTAACCCAGTGTAAACTAAAATATAGAAACACAGTATTTGTTGTAGCTCAATTCATTAACACATATAATAAGCCACAAAAGGTATTAATCTAAAACTCTGAAATTACATGTCAAAATTCACTGAATTCACAATGTTGAAATAAACATTCCTTCTGTCACACTACAAAATTCTATGTCAGTATAACATTTTGCTTAACTAAAAAAACCTGATATAATTATTCTTTATCACTTGAAAGTAAAAGTCACTCATACTTGGCATTTCATCCAAATCATGGTACTCTGAGAGGTTACCTGAAAAAGTGCTAAAATAAGTATCTGATGACACGTTCAAAGAAGTTCACCAATTAAACAATTAAGCCAGAAAACTATAGTATTCTAAAGTACTATTTTCCTAGGAAAAAAAGATCATCAGCAGACATAAAATTTTCCAAAGGCAAATGGTACCATTTATCAAAAGCTTAACTTAGTGAATTCTGTAGTAACATTCTGCTTTTCTCATTTTCAAGGTGTGTGTGTGTGTGTGTGTGTGTGTGTGTGTGTGTGTGTGTGTGTAGTTTTGGGTTAACAGCAAAATGGAGAGGTAGGGAGACTCTTCCATACACCCCCATCCTTACATATGCACAGCCTCCATTATCAACATTCCTCACCAGATTGGCACATTTGTTTTAACTGATGAACCTATACTCATAGATCACATACCATTATCCAATATCCATAGTTCATATTAGGGCACATTCTATAGGTTCAGACAAATGTATGACATGTATCACTATTAAGAGTATCATACAGAACATTTTCACTGCCCTAAAAATCTGGGCTCTTCCTATTTATTTCTCCTTCCCAATAATCTCTGGCAACCACTGATCATTTTTAATGTCTCCACAGTTTTGTCTTTTCTAGAATGTCATTCACATTTGGAATTATACAGTATGTACCCTTTTCAGATTAGCTTCTTTCACTTAGTAATTAGTACTTAACTTTCCTGAATGTCTTATGTCTTTTCAAGGACTGGCAGCTTCTTTTTAATGCACAAATATTCACTGTCTGGCTATAGAACACTTTAGCCATTGACCTCCTGAAAGACATCTTAGTTGCTTCCAAGTTTTGGCTATTAATAGAAAAGCTATAGGCATTTGTATGCAAGTTTTTGAGTAGATAAGTTTTCATTTCTTTGAGTAAATACTTTGGAGCATGATTTTTGGGTCATATGGAAAAAGTATTTCTACATGTGTAGGAAATCACAAAGTTGTCCTCCAAAGTGCCTATACCACTTTGCATTTCCACCAGCAATGAATGAGAGTTGCTCCACATCCTTGACAGTATTCATTGTTATCAGTGCTCTGGATTTTGGCCATTCTGATAGGTGTATAGTATATTTATCATTTTTAAAGATGAAGTGAAAGATAAAAGGCAGAGTTCTCTATACTTATTAAGAAACCTCTTGAATTTCCTTTGACTCTATTTACTTTTTCCCAGAATGTGGTCATGCACTAAGGCAAGAACCATATTCTCAGTCTCCGTACAGCCATTCTTTTCTAACAGAGTTGGTATCCTTTTCTGCTGACTTCAAGGACAAAAGTAAATATTCATTTTAAACCATACTCTGTTAAGCTCCTATCTATCCATCATAATGCTTTCCAACAATTATTAGATAATTTAGAAACTAAGGAGATCTCCATCACACAAGGAAACTGAAAGGAACAGAATTAGTTATTTGCAAATAGTAAGCAGATGAGCTGAAGCTAAAACCTATATTCTAACACTCAGCCCGTGGCTCTTTCCTTTAGACCAAGACTCTAGCTATGTTTCATTTCATAATGGAACAAGGGCACTTTGTAAAATTTGTTTAGTATTTATATAAAGCCAAGAAAGAAATCACAAACTCACTAAAGAAAACAGCAAGGGTCACCAAGTCTCCCAGTTTGCTTAGGACTAAGAGGTTTTCTGGGAAATACAAGAGTTTCAGTGCTAAAAGCGGCAAAGTCCAGGACAGACTCTAACGCTGTTCACCTTAAACACAGCTATCAAACAGGATAAACTGGATGTGAGGAGCACAACAAACCTTTAAAATAAAATCATCTAATAGAGAGGAAAAATAAGATAACACAGAGAATATTTGATTTTCTCCATTAGATTCAGTTATTTGAGGATAGAACCTTGTCTGAATTCATGTTTGTATTCCCTCAAAGCATCTAGCTCAGGACTTCACATATTATAATCTACTCAATAAATATTTATAATACATGTTCATGTAATAAATGTAAAGGGACACAGCAGAAAACACAAAGGAAAAGAAGTAACTTGAGGACTATATTTCTATGTAGAAGAATCAAAGTTGAAAGAAAGAACTAGCTTTGCCCTATGTGCCAAATGACTTTATGGTAAGACTACTTTAACACTTGAATACTAGAGGCAGGAAACTCTCAAACTCCTCCCTCTATCAGTATCAATTCCAAAATACTGAGTTCTATTGGAGAGAAAACACCTTCTATTGCAGATAAGCTTTAGAAAGTTAGGGATAAAAAGTAATATTATCTCCACAAGAAAGCCCTGGACCCATAATTTTTTCCCAGAGAAACCCAGTTATAAAATAACTTTCCGTGACTTTTTTTTAAAGTTATTAAGAATTTATACTGGTATCTATTTTCTTTACTCCATAAAACTTTATAGCATAAATATCTATTTATACCATATATATTTTTTTAAAGTATGATTAGATTACCAACCTTAAACTGCTAACCACCAGATCAAATGTATTTTCTTGAAAGGGAAGGAATTCTTCATCAGCTAAAACACTGACAGTAGGAATTTCTGTTTCTAGGGAATTTTTCTAATGATAGAAGATAAAAAGCATATTTATACTCCATTATTAACACAAAAATTGTTCAATTTAAATCAATTTTATACTTATTTGGCAGTTTCTATTCAAACAAACAATAATAAAATGTGGTACATAAGAGCTACTCAAAAGAAGTTTCTTAAATGACACCTAAGCTCAACCAGAAGAACTGGTTAGCTGTGATATCCACCTTGCACCTTACAAATCTCAGAAAGATGAATGTTTCAGCAGAATAACTAAAGCCATAAAGTACGAGATAAAAATATGGGTGAACATTTATACTCTCAGATTTTTGGAAAAAAGCCTAAGTAAACATCACCCTCAATACTAGAAACTATAAATTAATGGACTGATATATCTGATGACAAACTAAATGCTCTAAAAGTAATTTAGAAATGTAAGCGCACAAGCTGGGCAATATATTTATAATACACATGATGAAGAACATCCCTAAAAATCAAGCTCTTAAAAGCAATGTAGCATAAGAATGGGTGAAAGCTACTGCCAATGGACAAGGTACACGTATGTCATAAAACTATTTAAAAAAAACAAGAAATACCAATAACCAAAAAGCAATAGCCACAAGACACATAGCTATTTGTTGGAATTAGCAAACAAAGAAATTAAAACAAAACAAAACAAAACAAAAAAAATGGTCCAGGGATTTAGCTCAGGGGTTCCTCTGCCAAATTCAAAATCCTAAGTTCGATCCCCAGTACTGGGGAAAAAAATCGACTTGCCCACAATGCCAAAGAGAAGGAAGCACTTCATACAATACCCTCATTCAATCTTTCTCAGGGCAGCCTAGAAATGTATACTAAAATCTGGACATCAGTGAATCCATAAATTTCACTATCAAGAATGTAATCCCAGATAGAAAAATAAATCAAGCACACACAGTTGCTTCACATAAGGATATTCATTGCAGTGTTGAATACGCAGAGAGTATGAAAATGTCTCTCAAAAGAAATTTAGCTAACCATTCATATATTAGAATATCATGTAACCACTTAAAAAAATATACACAATATACAATGGCAGAAAGGAATGACATCCTGTAAAAAATAAAATAGGATGTTAGTGTGATATTGTTGATATCAAATTGGGAGAGGGGATAGTTATGTCTGCAAAGGTAAAGATCAAACTTCAACAGTGGTTATCTCTGGATGGCAGGACTGGGGTAGTCTTTCCTTTGTTATTTCCTACATTGTATAATTTTTCTTCATGTGTGTTATATGTATAATCAGGGGGAAATAAAGAAAGCTATTTTCATTGTGAAGGAAATAGAGAACTAAAAACCAAACCAGGAGACCAGAATACAATAGTGTTAAAAAGCCACCTACCAAAGCATTTTCTGCAATGTCTGTTTGGAAAAACTTTCCAATCGTTTCCTGAAAAGGAATTATTAAAGTTGATCAGAGGCCACAAAAAACAAGCAAATATATAAGAGCTATAGTTACTAAAACAAACAACTGTTGAAATTTCTAGAGGAGAAAGGGCTAATTATAGGTTGGTTTTTCAGCTCTGCAAGTTGTCTTTTTCTGTATTACACTAGTATGGTATATAATACATAATAAATTACACAGATTTAAACATATACAGCTAACTAATGTATCTAACTTCAGTTAATAAAACAGAATACAAATGTGAATATTAACACCCTTTACTGCACTGTGTGGAGGCTTCTACATTAACTTTTCCATAACTTAATAAGCTGAGAGCTAGTTTTTACACCCTTGTGCCACAAAAGTCCTCCTTGTGTAGGTATACTGCTTTCATTTATTCATTCAAAGAGTATAGAAAGACTTAGCACACAGACTTACGGATAGGGCTTACAAGTTTTATTTCCCTTGTTTTACCTATCCCCTCTCCCTTTCAAGAAGAATGGATAGAAGAAAGGGTACTATTTATCTGTCCCACATTACCATGTTCCACTTGGCTCTTTTCAGGATCTCGCTCCCTCCATCACCAACTCTGACACTCTTCAAACACTTCTGGTCTTTTTCTCACCTTACAGCATGCATAAACCTCCTAATCCTGAAAATTTCTCATCTTTAAGCACCTTCCAGTTATTCGGTTTATAATCCAAGAATTTACACACTGAGGTCCTTGTCCAAAACTCTAAGTAATCCATTTTCCTTCTACTGCTTAACCAAAGCTGTCACTAGAGGTCACTAACTAAGTGGGAACAGAGTACAACAGTCTGCTCTCATTGCTCAGGGTCAGTACTGTTTCACTTGACTTCCTTGAAGTACAGAGCTGTTTTTGTTTGTTTTGTTTGTGGTACTGTGGATTGACCTTGTGCACACTACATATACCAGGTGCACTCTACCAATAAGCTCTAATTCCTGGACCTTTTTAAATTTTAATTTGACATGTGGTCTCACTAAGTTCCCCAGGCTTGAAGCACAGCACTGTTTAATGTCCCCTAAAATTTCTTCAGTGCTTTCTATTCTTGCTCTTCTCTATTAGAAAAGCTGATCTTTCTCAGTTCATTCCTATCTGCTCTTCCCTGCCAATAACTTAGCAAGGGTATACCATATCACAGAGTCCTATCACTATCCAGTCACTGCTGACTATTTGAGGTTAACTGCATATAAATGTTTAAGGGCAAGCTCAAAACCAAACAAAAGGGTACTATTTGCCAACTTCCATGGCATAGTACACAACAACGGTAGATGCCAGGCTACCAACATGATGACGCTGCTAGGTGTACAGCTGGACAGAGATAGGCATCGTTGGCTTTCAGATGACAGCTACAGCACACCATCCTGAGAAGAATAAGGCCAATCAGATTATCTGCCTCCCACTTGAAAATCTCAATGAAGAGATTCAAAGAGAAGGGCTAAGGTCCCTGAGTTAGAACAGGTAGACTTCAGAGTTGAAATACTTGGTATGCTGACGTATATTTAATAACTGACTCTTGGCAGGGGACTACATTGTACCACTTCCAATTTTCATGGTGTAAATACTTCCACCACAGCTGGTTTCACTCTATCAACACAATGTCACTGAACATGGAATTGGGGAAGAGATTAATATTCAGTTCTCATGAGCTGATCTGAGATAGCTTTATCACTCCACTGAGTGTAGTGCATTTATATTAGAGCCACACATACCAATGAAGACTAGCAAGAGTCAACAGGAAGAAACAGAAAGAAGGGAGCTATAAAATATCCATGCAATTCCAGAAAGCATGTAAACCAAGAGAACCCTTACACTCAGTTTTCAAAGTCCCATCCCTTGTGAAGCCTGCTATACTTCCAGATCCCTCAGTTCCATAAGAACCTCTATGTAGCAAATGTCCTGGTGTTTGGCTTTAAAGGATTTCTACCTCTTATAATCCAAAGATAGATAGAGGATGTAGCTCAATGGTAGAGCACTTGCCTAGCCTTGGGTTTGATTTCCAGCACCACAAAGAAAAAAAGAGGATAAAACATCCCTAGGATGACACTACCTTACTATACCTGGCAGTCTCCTTATTATCTTACCCCCTAAATACAACTGTGGATGGTTCTTTTCTATACTGTTGCCATAGACAGTTATCACTTCACCTCTGACAATTTCCAAGTAAGAACCATAACCACTACTGTACCAGATTTACCTCATTCCTTCTGCCGTTCTTCTGAAATAGGTGTTGCTGCTCACATTTTACAGAAACTAAGGTATGAAATAATGGGGTAACTTGCCCAAGAGTATACAACAGACAGAAAATGGCAGCACTGCAATTTTGAACCCCATGTGTAAAACTTCAAGTCAATGCCCTTAAACCTCAACACTACTATTCCGGTTCCCCATTTCCATCTATCCTGCAGATATCAGTCCTAATTTATTCCTCTGACATTTTAAACCCAACTTATCTAAAACAAAAATCATTCCTTGTTCCTTGTCCTACTACTATATCCTATTTTTCCCAGTCACTGAAGTCATAACTTTAAAGTTTTCTTGCATTTATTCACATATTAATTATTCAATAAAGCTTCATTTTGTTTTCTAGGAATATAACAATGAACAAAAATGAGCAAGTCCAGTAAGAGAAGGTAGATAGCAAACAAAAATATATTGAGGACTAAAGAAATAAAGCAACTAGCCAGTAAAGAGCAGGGGCACTATTTCAGAAACCAGTCAGAGACAAGATTTCTAATAAGATGTCATTTAAGCAAAGATCTGACAGAGGTAGGTAAGCCACAGAGATATCTTGGGGAAAAGTATAAGAAAGGCTGGCCTGTGTGAAAGACAGTAAGGAGGTTAGGGTTGCTAAAAAGTGGAGAGTGACAGGAAGAAGGTAAGGTCAGGGTCATAAACAGCCAGATCACTGAGGGATCTTACAGACTAAGACTCTAGATCATAACTAAATTGTATGAGAAATAAATAGTTTTGAACAGAGGGTTAAGAACGATTTGACTTATGATTTAAAAGAATTACAGTGCTATGAGAATACTCTCATGGGCACAGGAAGCAGCAGGGAGATCAAGAAAGAAAACTAGTGAAATAATCTAGGCATAAGGTGAGAGTAGCTAGGACCAATTCGGTAGTGGTGAAGATAGAGCTACAGATGTATTCCAAAATCCAAATTAGATTTGCTGATCCAGTCAGTCATCAGTTTTGTAAGCTCTACTAGGCCTCTCACATGTATTACGTCTTTTATACCTGCTGCCTTCAAATGAGTGGTATACCTTTATCTCCCATGCCTGCACCACTTTTAACACAACCTCCTAATTGGTCTGATTCTCTATGCTCTTTCTTTAATCCTTCCTGCATGCCACTGCCAGAGTAGTCTTCCTTAAACATCACTATTATCACATCCCATATATCACATAGCATTCTTACCTTTCCTTCTGCCATGCTTCCAATGAAATGAACCATCAATTCAGATTCTCTAAAGTTTTAAGGTCAGAGTTTGTGCCTTTAAGAAGCCTAGACCAAATGAACCCCTATTGATTTTTTTCTTCCTCTAATTCCTATTACACTTTAATGACTGTCCATATGTATGGCATTTGCTACTATCAATAAAAATGTTGTGGAAGGCCCACAACGCCCTAACCTGACCCAAGTGTGTGTTTTTATCTAAGTACATTTTATATAGAAATCCCACCTTAATCATTGTGTCCACACACAGAATCTAAGACTAAATGAGTATCTTTGTGATCTGAATTAGAAAGTGCAAAATAAAGTCCTGATCATGATAAAAAAGACTACTTATATTTGAATATAAAGACTTTTAAGCAAGTAATAAAATTACTGTGTTTGTAGTTTAACTTAATCGCATTTTCTATACAAATGACAATTTTAATTTCTTTTTAAAACTAGGACCTCACATATACTAGACGAAAGTTCAAAAAAAAAAAAAAAGAGTTCTACTGCTAAGTTACAAACCAGCTTCTAATTTTTATTGTGAATTTTCAAAATGAACAAAGTGATAACAAAGTACATATGTATTTAAAGAAAATACTATCTCAATACTAAGACCCTCAATAAAATGAACTAGCAATTCTGATAATAATCAAAATCTAAACCGCATGCAACTGAAATGATAAGGAAAGTTTTTCTTACAGTCACCTTTATTTCTCAAAGTAAATTAGGTCATTGAATAAATATACCTTATTCAAATGTTGTGCTATGTAACCTCTTCCACAACCAACATCCAAAGCAAGGGGGAAATCTCTAAAAAGCAGACACAAAAGTTATGCTCTGTTTGTGAAACAATTCAACAAAAAAATTTTCTTAAGTAAACACATTTTAGTGAATGCAACTTTCAAACACAAACACAAATATCATCTTTTCTGCCTCACCTACAAACTCTATCTACCAGAGAGCATAAAAGTCTTTCTGATCTGGTCATTTATTCACAGAACCACATAAAGAACTCTTTCTACAAGGTGACTTCACAATATAGATTTAAGAACAGATTCAATGAAAATATTTTAATCCAAAAATATATTCAGGCAAAGAATGAAAGAAGACTAAATATAATAACATGAAATGAACTGGCATACTTATCAGGGATTTAGCAATTATCTCTCAAATTTGGTGACGCAGAGCACTTAGAAATCTTCAGGTAGAATAGCATGAGTTATTAGCATGGTAAACTTAAAAAAAACCTAAATAATAGGAAACATTTACTAACAAGCCTATCAGGTTCTAAGCACTGTACTACAAGTTCCAGGAATCCATGGCTAAGAAAGTCAAGCCAAACACTTGAAGTACTAAGCAGCAATCTATACATGGACTCAGTTGGTTTCAATCTTGATCCAGAACTATTACTCTCCATACTATGTTGTCTCCTCTAAATACACATCATACTAAATCAGTATAAATGTCTAATTGTAGGCCATGGGCTTAAGAAAATTTAAGACAAAACAGTTAAAGCTTTATCTACTAAGAACATCTTCCTGAAAAACTGGAACAAAAAGAGCCCCTGTTCAATTTTTCTTAAAAGTGGATATTAAAATTACAAATCACCAGGACATAGTTGGAGAACCCATTGTAACAAATAGCTAGTTTTCAGCTTGATAATGAACACAGCCCATGTGGCAAGGTCGAATATACAGATTTTTTAATTAGAAAGACATAAATTCAAAGTTTGGGCCTGCAATTTACTAGTCCTGTGACTAAAGACAAATGATTAACTCTGGTAGGTCTCAGTTGTCTCATCTATATGGAAAAGATAACTACCTCCCTCAAGTTGGTGTAGGAAGTACATTTAAAGTATTTAGTACAAAAAAAAATGTTCAGCAAAAATTAGTTGTTATTAGTACTGATTATAGTAGTGTTAAATGAGTCTCAGATTACACAAATAAGACATTTAAAAATCTGTAGTTAGTTGTTTTAAAGTTAACAGAAGATCAGTTTTAACAATATAAACTGCTCTAATACTACAATATTAATGGAAGGATATATACATAGTGTTTTTAATAATTTAACTGCAAATATTTAATTATTAAAACATGCTTTTAGCCATAACCACAGGTCTTTCCATAGATTTGTCAGTGTTTTGCTCAGTGCTTTGACATAAAAAGTTTATAAAATTCAAACTGATTTGCAAAACTTAATGTTTCCTTTACTAAAATCACAAATGATCTATAATTCAAGCAAATGATTACAGTTTGTTATTTTTTCTTTTTTTGTTGATCTTAAAATTATACCCTATAAAATTAGTTTATTCCAAAACTCTTTTTAAAGTTGCAAAAACGTATCTAAGATACAGTTAAAGGAGCATGTGTTTTTACAAAATTTCCCTTTTTAACAGGACAATGTAATAAATTCATCCCATCTTGGTCTAATTCAATGGATGTTTTTTAAATAAAAGAACACACAGAAAAAGAGATTTGCTAATATCACTAAATAATTCTACTATAAATACCTTATTTGACTGTAGTTCCCACTACATGGCCATAAATTTCAATCTATAAATCTCTCATTATGCCTAATATACAAACCAATAAATCCATCAAGATTTCATACTTGAATAATTATTATAAATTATAAAATTGCCATAAACTTCTAATATTAATAGTTCTTAAGACCAAAAGGCCAAAGACTCATCTATCTTGATAGAGAAACAAATTTAGGTAGTCTCCTTTACTTGAGACGATACAAATTTTTTGTTATAGTTTTAGTTAAAACTTTTAAATCTAGTGTTAGCATTTATTTGTGGTTGTCCCCACAAAACTTCATGTGTTCAGAGGCAAGGTTTGTGGAAGGTAATTGGACTACTGATGCTAGAACTGGGTTGGTACTGGAAGGTGGGGCCTGATTTGAAGAAGCAAGTTATTGGGGTGTGAAGTGGAAGGACATCTGCCTCCCTGGCTCCTCCCTTTCCTGGCTGCCCTGAGGTGACCAGCTTTCCTCACACCAGGCTGTTTATCATGCTAGCAACCATGAAAAAACTGAAACTTCTAAAACATTCAAATTAAACCTCTCCTTCTTAAAGTTGCAGGCGTCAGATATTTTGTCCCAGCAATGAGGAAAGTGGCTAAGATACCTAAGTTTAGTAAATCTTAAAAATTTATGTAAAGTCAACTTTTTATCTGTTTTTGGAGCAATCTTTCCATTAATGGCTTTTAGCCAAATCAAATGGGTCAGTTGTTCAGACTTGAAAAGATCTACAAGTCATGCTTCCATACTTTTTTCTTTTCCCTTTAAGGCAACAATGATAAAAAGAACATTTGCTCTTGCTCTCCCAGACAATAAAGAGACATACAGTGTGACTCAAATTGCCAATCCTACAAATAAATACCTCCAGGTTCTGCCATAACAGATATCACACTCTGTCAATGTTTAAAGCTCAAGTCTTCATTCAAAAGTTGATTGTATTAGCCAGGCATGGGGTGTACATCTGTAATCCCAGCTATTTTAATACTTTATTGTGTTAACCATCACTTACCTTGCTATGTCATATACCCGGTCTGCAATCTGACTTCCAACCTGAAAGATTACAAAAAACAATGATATAAATATGTTGAATGGGTTTAACAAAGAAGAAACACTCTTTTTCAGTATGCAGCAATCCATAAATTACTTATGCTTCAACATGATAAGTATTTCCCTTTATCCATTTTTCTATTTCACGACAGCAAATTTCAACTCTCAAATAGAAACATAATAAAATATACCAGGAAACATAATGAAGTCAATTTCATGAAATCAAGATTAAATATTCGGCTTTAACATTCCTCACAAGAAAAGTAACAAGAAAAAATCAAGCACCTTATTATCCTCACAGATTAATAGGAAGTATACAGGAGTGAAAAATTAGTTAAGACTTATTAGATAATACAAGTAATCACTTGATAAAAACAAAATTTACATTACTCTTAGTTACCAAACTTCTCAAGTGACATATACAAATTAGAAATTAAAAAATCTGAAATGTAGTCCTCATCCCAGCCCAATGTAAAAATAGTCAGAAGGCTTAGTACCACCTTTTACTGAGCTAGCTTCATCTGGCAGTAATAAAGATGTGGGAGTCTAATGCTCCCCCACATTCTATTCATTCCCTCATAAACATTTCAGTTTCTATTAATACATGAAAGTTCAGAACATAGGTGTATTTACTTTTGGGGGGAATACAGGCAAAAGGAGGAGGTAGAGCAGAAGTTTTTGCTCAGAACAGGCCATTTGTACTTCATTCCTAATATCAATCTCTTTTGTCCCTTATAAAAAGAAATGTCAGATATCATCTCATTATTCTAGTTCTGCATACTGGTGAGTCTTCAGCGTAGTAATCCAGATACTTTTCTTGGAGAGGAAAAGGGACTAGAACAATGCCCTCCACGCACATGCCAATCTAAGGAATGGACATCACCTAAGTATCTGCTCTTTAGGAGGAACTAGTAACTGGCAGGAACAGTGTACTTTGTGCACTGTGCCTTACACACGGAATACACAAAATTTCCTGACAGTTGACTTTCTATCTATGTAACAGACTTCATCAGCCTCTGAGCAGCTGTCTCATCTAATGCTTTCTGAAAACTGACACTTGTCAATTATCTGCTCTGACCAGGGCTTTGTATAGAACTCTGCTCAAAGTAGCAACTGAGTAAATGTTTGTTGTTTTAGCATGAAAGAATGCATCATACTCAATTCCAATTTTCTCCTACCCCTAATGAAATATCTGATACCCAAGCTAAGCACTGTGTGTCCTCAGAGTAGAAAGGCAATCTCTAGTCTACCGAGGCAGGGAGGAAGAGGTCTTTCAACCCTGCACAGACAGATCAGGAGGTCTTAATTTAACTTTCCTAAAACATAAATAAGATCCACGCTTATAACCATCCAAGAGTATCACACTCCTATACAACAGTATTGTTCCAGAATGACACATAAGTAATTTTAAGTTTTCCACAGGCAATGTTATTAAAAAAGCAACAAGAAAATTTAACATCAATATAATGTAATCCAGTATCAAAACAGTTTCATGTAATCAATAGAACTATTTTAATTAATTTTATTGGTACATTTAATGTATACAATAGAATGACATTGATCGTTGGAAATTTGTACCTTTACACAATCAACCTTGGTTCTTATTTTTTCCCCATTCCCCTTCCCTCCCTTCAACCCCTCCCTCCCTATCTACAAAGATTTTGTTTCCATTATTTTTCATTTTTTCAACACAACTATGAATGAGGTATTTCACATTCTTTATCAGAGTAGAGTAAGTCACCGAATCCGTTATGTATTTCATACTTGACAACACGTTTCAATGGGACTAGCCACATTTCAAAGGCTCAACAGCCACGTATGGCCACCAGTTACCATACTGAATGGAACACAGAAGAAAATCCAGTCTTTACCCTGTTAAGGCCCTAATAACCTGGCCCCTTCTAGCCTCCTTTCTCACCCTCTTCCTCATTGGAGCTTCACTAAAGGCTACCACAAGGTCGTTTCTGCCTCGGGGACTTCGCGTTTGTCATTCCTTTTGCCTAGCAGACTCCATCACAACCTTCCTAATTCCTAAGTGTGAGCGGCCGTCCTTGACCATAGCAACCTATTTATAGACTTAATTTCCCAACTCTTCTATAGCTGAAATTACCCTTCTTGTTTATACCTTTCTAACCTTCCCTCCGACAATGAAAGCCTATAAGCAAGACAGTCTAACTTTGTCCTGGCCAGTTACAACCCAATCAATGCTCGGTGTATGCGAATCAATGAACAGCACGCGAGGAGCACAGCCTTTCTAGGTAACAGCAAAGGTTCGGAGACTCAAGGCTGCCACTCAAGATCACGTGACAAGGCCGGGACGGCCTGAGCCTAATTAGAACTTGCGAACCTAAAGATCCGTGCCACTCTCCTCCACTGTCCCGCGGTCTCACCTCCTCTCTCAGGTAGTCAAATCTCATTAGCTCGGGCTGCTGGGCCGCCCAGTTTTTCTGTTTCCTCTTCAAAACCCGATCGAAGATATTTAGGACTCCAGGAGACGTGCTGCCTAGGGGAGGGACGCCGGAAGCCACCTCTCGACAACCAAGTTTCTCTGCTCCGACCTTGGTGGTGCGAGGCCTCAGCCATCGACGCCACAGTACACCAGGTCTCAGCATTTCCAGCTGTGGGACCATTTATTGGTGCACTTCCTCGTGCGCCTGCGCCGCGCGGTTACGACAAATACAGAGCGACAGAGGTACGTAAAAAGGAGCGTGGTGGAAGTAATTTGGCCCTGTTCTCATACCGTTGCGGCAGAGCGTCACGCAGAGGATTGTGGGTTTGAGTTCCACGTGAGGCTGAGAGAGATCTGAGACGGTGAGTAGGCCTGGTCTTGGAAACTGTACATCGGCAGAAGCAATTTCTGGCACGGTTTACTTTGGATTTGTGAGGGCGCACCCCTTCTTTCCCTTTCTGGAGTCTTTCTTCAGACTTCTTTAGTTCTTTTCAGGATTGCTTCTCAGCTAGCTTCAGCCCAATAGCTTACCTGTGAGGATTGGGTGGTAAGGAGAGCCTTGTTTAGGGGCCAATTTAAGGTTCTCCCCGTTTGAGGGTGGGTCGTATCGTCGGAATGCGAACATAGTTCTGCACTGTGATGGGGCCGCCTACTCTACGTCCGAAGTTGATCTGGCGCGTTCGTTTTAAATATTTATGTGCATTATCTCTACTACGGTAGTTGGATGAGTGCTTACTACGTTCTAAAGCTGTTCAGAGTTAAGTGCCGTATTAGATCTAAAATTTGTAAATGCACCAGTGAAACATTTGATATTTTCTGAACACTGTATTTTTTTTCAAATACAAGGAAAACAACAGCTTTAGTCAGCCTTTGTTTTTTTAAATAAAGCAACGATGCGTTGCTTGATCAGTCTGTTTTTGGTCTCGGCAGTTAAGTTCGGTTTTTGCACAGTTCAAATCCAGAGAGGCTAAACCATCAGAGACTAATTTATTTATATTTTTTTCAAAAATATATTTTTGGAGGATCTGCTTGTTTGTTCCTTAGTCACTTCCAGAATAAGAGACTATGGAAAAGAAGTGATATTCAGTAAGTGGAGTGAGACTTTACGTGGTTCTTGAGGGGTAATAACGTTTAGAGAAGAATCTGAGTTAGGGCTGATTTAATTTTGGCCTGTTTAGTTAGGATACTATGTAGAAGTAAAGCTGTTCTGAGAAGGAGATAAAGAGAACAGAATGGGACTAGAATATAAAGAAACAAGTGAGACCAACTGAGGCTTGGGAATCTTTTAATTAAATTAGCTTATAACATAGGATTTACAGATAACACGTCTAGAAATAAAGACATTCTAAGTGCAATGGGCTAGTACACATTTGTTGCACTCCATAAAACCCTGGGATTCTGCTTAGGTTGCCTTAAAATTAAGAGTATGTTATGAATTAATGTTTTTAAAATTTTTTAATTATATTAAAGTTTGATTGTAATGTTTGTTTTACTTTTTAGTATTAGGTTTCTTTGAATATTTCTTCAGCAAGCCTTTAAAAATGTCATCCAAACAAGAGATAATGAATGACCAGCGGTTTAGACGGGTTTCAAAGGACCCCAGATTCTGGGAAATGCCAGAAAAGGATCGAAAAGTCAAAATTGACAAGAGATTTCGAGCCATGTTTCATGACAAAAAGTTCAAATTGAACTATGCAGTTGATAAAAGAGGTCGCCCTATCAACCACAGCACTACTGAGGACTTGAAACGTTTCTATGACCTTTCAGATTCTGATTCTGATCTATCTGATGAAGATAGCAAACCATTGAATCAACAGAAAATAAAGAAGAAAAACCACCAGCAAAAAAAAGAAATAGATTCAAAAAATATAATTGAAAAAAAGAAAGAAACCAAGAAAATGAATCAGAAGTATCCTGGAAATAAAAATGATTTAGATAATTCTGAAAGAATTCAGGAAATGAAAAGTTCTAAGAAGATAGATTCAGAAATAAGTCGAAAGGACAGCAAAGAACTTACAGAAAAAAGTACAAAAGAGAAAAAAAGCATTGTTGAACATGATAGTGACTCTTTTCCCAAAAGAAAACTAAAGACAGACCCACACACCTCTAAAATTGTGAAATCTACCAAGATCAATTGTTCTAAGACAAAAAGAGAAAAGCAATCAGGTTGGTTAGGGATACTGTGGGGTTAGAATAATTATTTTTATACTGGTCTTTTGAAAAAGTAAATGATAATTATTTATATAGAATGTTGGGAATGGTTAAATACTTTAGAAATATAAAGCTATGAAAAGAAAGTAAGCAGTGATTTGTATTTGGTGCTAGAAGACAAAAATTTTAGTCAATGTTGATTTGTGGGCAGTTGTAAGAGCTATAATCTATAAGTATAGTAGTAAATGTAACCACATGACAAGAGGTGTGTCTGAAGAAGGTAGAGTTGGATACTCATTAATTTATTCAGCCATTATGTGTAGATAGAACATGAGTAAGCCATGATCCTCCAACTCAGGGCTATTCCCAGATTACAGGATCACTTTATGCAAATTAGAGGCATACCTTCTGAACACAGAGCTTCCTAGAGTTCATAGTTTGGTTAGAGGATGACACTTACGAGTGAAATAACATTCTTTTCCCCTAAGCAGATGCAGCTTTGTTAGGTGCATGGTTTAATCAGTAGAGTATGGGTTTGATTTTAGTCCTTGACCCTTTGTAGAGTAACAGTCTGCTAAGCTGTTTACAGTGGCCCTGGTCTAAAATAGAACAGTCCAAAAAATATGAAAAAAATGGAAATAAAGAGTTTGTAAATGGGGAGGGGAGGAGGGGGTGAAGGGAGGGCAGGAACAAGGGGAAAAAATGAGAACCAAGAACTGTCATGTGAAGGTACAGGATCCCAGTAATGAATGTGATTATACCAATAATAAAAAGAAAAAAATAAAATAGAAAATAGAACAGTCCAATAGAAATATATAATTTTGGGTTTTCTAGTAGCCATGCTAAAAAGTAAAAAACAGTTGACATTAATTGTAATTAAATATTTCAAAAACCATAAATTTTTCAAAAGTAATTTGTTTCAATATGCAGTCATTATTTTAAAAATAAATGATGTTTTCATACCAGGCTCAGGTTGGATGAGCCATATTTCAAATGCTAAATTGCCACGTGGCTACTATGTACCATGTTAGAGTAGATTTCAGGTGAAAGAAAGAACTGTAATACACAATCGAATAATAGTACTATAAAGTGTGTAATAGAGAAATATGAAGTTCAGAAGGGGTTACTAAAGATGTATGGAATCAGAAAGATTCCTAAGGGAAGCAGTATTTTGATTGCAGTTGGAAAAAGTTAACTGTAAATAGAAGCATTCTACATGGGAAGAACTTTTTGAGCCAAGTTGTGATTGGGCATCTTCAGAAGAGAATCTAGTAGTACCATTTGGTTAGATAATAGGTCTTGAAGAAGTGAATAAGTAATAGAGCTAAGAATAACTCTTTAGAACTAAGAAACACTTGGCTCTAGTTTGTGTTTATATGTTAACTAAGTTATTTATTAAAATTTTGCATTACCTCTAGCAGCAGGAAATTTTGAAGGTTGATGTTTCATTGTTGATATAACTAAAAATAGGTCAGATGAGCCAGACAGGCTGGCTGTGATTCTAGGACCCAGAGAGGTTTTAAGAAATGTCAGAGAGAGTTGACATTGGGAAGGTAGAAAGTATCAAGCTGCGGACAGAATTCTAGATAGGAGAGACTAGGAAATTGGAGGTGGGATCCCATTTCATTTGTTGTGGAACTAGGCAGCAAACTTTATAAGATCCATCTGGAGAAAAGGCATAGGAATCTAGTTACTGAAATTAGAAAATAAGATCAGACTGGCATTAGCTGCAGTGTTTATTGACATTGATTTGTGAAGTAAGTTGTTCTAGCATCCTTGAAGTTCCACTTGAGTTAAATCACTGGATTAGTGTAACATGGAATCCTTTGGAGTGATTTTATAGAATCTTTATGTATCTTTTCCAATTTAACTTTCTTAATAATTTTATAAAATGAAAGTGCTATGTACAAGGACCCTCAGAGCTAGTACTATATATATAACTCATGCCTTCTGAATTTTCTACCCTGTCTAATTTATATTTGCCACAGACTAGAAAAGACGTTTGTTAGGCATTAAATAACTCCATACATAGCTCTCTTATTCATCAGTCATTCCATCAAATACTCTGTGCAAGGGACTTTTTAAGTGCTATAAAGTAAAAATAATATGATCAGGTACAGTTTGATACTTCTCATTATTAAAAACTTTATTCCAGCATTTACACTCCTAAGAATTTATTTTAAATAAATGATTGAAAATGTGTGCAAAGAATGTATTGGAGCATTATTTTTTAATTTAATAATTGTAGCCTAAATCATTAAGGTATTTATTAAATATGTTGCAGTACATCTGAACATATATGATATATGAAGGTTTTAAAATAGGTTACAAAATACCAAAAATTATAAGACCAGCTGCTTTAAAAAAATTTATTTGCTAAATCATAGAAAATAAAATTAAATTATGTACCAAAGTAATCATGTCGTTATCTCTGAACGAAAAATTACTAGTCTATTTTCTTCATTAAACCATATTTTCTTGTTTTTTTTTTTCAGTCAGCATTTATTATGTTTATGGTCAGGGAAGAAAAAATGGTAAAGCAGTTTTTTTTAAATAGTTGGATAAGTAGCAAGGTTTAAAATAACTTCTAGGGTACTACAGTCTAGAAATAGAGGCAGTTATTTTAATCCCATTTTATTTCAGTGAATAAATACCCTGAATGTAGTTGATGTTGTCAGAACTATTAAAATAATTTCTTTGATCTGCGATGCATCAGTTTGTGATACAATCCAAAGTATGCTATATATACCATTGTTATATGTAAGATTTTAGGTGATTCTTAAACTTTTTATATTAATAGGTATGTATTATTTCAACATCTTGAAAAAATATAACTACCACTTCATTTCTATGATTTCAGATCTATTTAGGATATAACTAGTATTTTTTAAAATTTACTGAAAAATATCAGTAACTTACAAAAAAATTAAGATGGTATAATGATTGATACTTGGAAAATACTGCAACACTAGGTAGAGCTGGGTGAACAAGGTGATTTTTTTTTTTCATTAAGTTTATTGGTACATTTTAGGTATACAATACAGTTACA